GAGTTGCTGTCCAGATGGTCTAGCAGCCTGGAGCAGTCCATAGCTCGCTCTGTGTCCAAGCCAAAGGTCAGGAGAGTGGAGTTGTGTCGGAATTAAGGAAAAGGCAGTTTATATACAGTTGGGATAACATCGTGGTGCAGCTGATGCTCTGGCCTTTCTGAGCCTGTGAACGTGTGATTGAATGAGTGCAGGAAATTCGGTTCTAACTTTCCTTGTATCTGAATTTTTGCCTTCCTTGGAAGTTACCAGAACCATCTGAATTCTTAATATAGCTAATACAGAAGTTTTCAGTCATCAGACAAAAACAGAAAATATGACAGATGTTGTCTACGCTCCACCTGCATGTACTCCCCATATTCCTCTTCTTGGGAAGAGGTCATGCCAGAAACATAGGAAGCTGTTGCATGCAGACATGTAGCAGTAAAAGAACATAGAGCACCACGGAAACCTAAAAGCAAATGGCTCCAGGAGAGGAGAAAGGGAAACTGAATTGACTGGTCATGCTGTCTAGATCATGCTGCTTTAGATCTTTAGGAAGCAGCATTTCTGGGGAAAGGGAAGAAACATAAATTGCACGTTTAGAAGTAGCGAATGAGCATCATGACTTCAGTTCATCAAGTCAGGCTTCCTGCACTCCTCCTGTTCCTGGGTTTTGAACCTTCAGTGTAATTCAGATGTATTTCTAAACTGTGTTTAGTGATGGGCATTTCAATGTGATTTCTTTGCTTTTGTTATTTCCCTCAGAAACATCTCAGCATTTAGTACTTCAGAAGATGGTAATGGGCCTGCTAACTCATTGGAACATCTTAGGCTGGGGTGTCTGAATTGTAGCTGTGACTGTAATCTCTGCAGTTTTTCCAGGGCTTTTTGACTGGTGTTTACAGCTCCAAGTGCAATGGGGAGGATGAAAGCAAGTGAGAGATAGTGTACAGATAAATGGCAGTGTGCCAGGTGACATTAAAAATTTCTATTTCCTCCTTTTATTTTATGACTTGTGGGTTGGCAATCATTTTCTTTTTATTCTGCAGGCATTAGGAGCAAGATTTCCCTGGATGGGAAGTGGGAAATAGTGATACCTGTATTAAAGTTAATACAGGTATCACTAATTGCTGCCTGCGTGTTTCTACGTATTTCAGAATCAGCCTCTTGTGGTGAGGTTAGTTTGTTAATCTGGTAAACTGGGTCGGTAGGATGTTCAAGCAAGGATAAATGGAGTGTGTAGCTGAGAAGTTACAAGTCTAATCCTTGTGGATTTAGGGGTCAATTACAGTATCAGTTCTGTAATATTTAATGTCTCTGGCGATCAATATATTGAATTTTGAAAACCAGTTTATTAAGAACCCCTGAAGTATTTTCTGTGACATCTTCAGCTGGTAGCTGGCTGAAGTATAGAAATTATGTTGGCCTGATGTTGCCTGATTATGCTCAAGCTTCTTGCTACACTGTGAGCCTAATTTACCTCTTGTGTTTCTTCTTTGTTTTGTCTTCTGCTTGAATCCTGATGTACAGAAGATAAGAGAGTTCAGAGCCTGGCCTGTGCATTGAAATTTTTAGTTTTGTCTTTTCTACTTTAAGGGCTACAGCTGTTACCCTAGGTATTAAGTAAGTTTTAACACTTTTTCCTTCCCTCAACAGTAAAGCATACATGTTGGGAAGGAAAGCCATCCATCCTGATGGATTGCATTAATGATAATCTCGTTTGTCTCAGGAGGATCTCCATCTTGCTCGCTTTTCTCCATCTCCCAAACCATGTGTATGTTGTGATCCTATATCTTCCACAAGATGCTCTTTCTCCGTATGATGGAGTCTGGCTTTTCTGCTGTTCTTGAAGTGAATATCTTCTTTTACAAGACGTTTGACATTCCAGCATTGTTCATCAAATGTTCTGAGTTCCACTTTTAGCTAAACCACAGGCCAGCCTGCAGACTCAAACATTGTTGGTTTTCAAATCTTTTTGTAGCATGAAAAGCCTTTGTTACACTCGGAGAATAATAAGTTTCCGAAGTGCCATGGAAAGAAGTCTCTAATCTGCATGTTGTGTCAGGTGAGCAAGGTTTTTCTGAGGATGTCAAGTGAGGCAAGAATAGAAACTCGTTTCAATAGGCTTATATCCTAAGCACTAAGCTCGGAATTCTTAAGAGTTGGGAGAGGGATTATGTCCCTCCGTTATGCCCCTCCATTTAACCCTTTGTTATTTCCTGTTCCTTTCCCACACTATTACCTGGTATCCAGCATAAATAGAGGGGCTTTTTGAAAGATTTTATTTTCCTCTGTTTATGTGATCATCTTCTTAGGAGGCCTGAAGGATGGATGGATAGTGCCATCAAAAAGGATTTAAATTAACCTTCTCTGGGTGGGATTTGGATTACAAACCTAACTTTACCTTGAACATTGTAATAGTTCCTCTTTTTTGGTGCTATAAATTACTGTCATTTCTCTGTACTTGAATAAAAACAAATCCACATTCAAAGTCCTGCCTGTGCAGAATTCTAATTCTGAACTGCGAAACTAGTATCTTGGGCAATGCTGCAATAGGAGTTATGTTTCACTTTTTTTCTCCCTTCCCTTTGTCCCCCAGGTTGGTAACACATAAATCATTAATGCAGAATTTAGGATGTCCATGCAGAAATAATTTTTGAATTTTAAAAGGAGTCTCTTTTGCTGCCTAGCACACAGAGTGCCAGCTACTGAGATTTTGTTACATGTACAACCTGGAAAATTGCAAAAAATCCTTCTGATTAGTGCTGCAAGAGAAGAAAAAGAAGCTAAACAACTGCAATACTTTTGGTTTATTGCAAAAGTTTATCTTAACTGTCTTCTTATAATTGAGACCCTTAAAGTGTAGTTGCATCTCCTCCCTTGTGAGGTACACCAGTGTCATTCTCCCCATTTAAGATTTTATTTCTATACCATGAAATTTACCCCCAAAGCTGTTAACTGATTTATTTAAGAAATTCAGAGAAGCATGGGGTAGGGCAGGTAATTAAGCCCACATTTCTCAGGTCTCATTCTGGGCCGTGCTAGATCTTGCTTCCTCTGAAAAAAGGATTAGGATCTTTAGAACAATACTTGATGGGTTCTTACCTTCTGCATAGCAGTGTTTTGTTGTGTGGATGTATGCTTCTTGGCACTTCACAGATGAAGTTGCTCCTCCTCTGATGCCAGTTAGTTTGCCATCATCTCACTAAATCACTCTCAAAAGATGCCTTAGGAGAATGGAAGGCTATTGCTGAAGTGTTTGAATAGATAGCAAAAGGTGACAAGAGTGTGCATAGCACTATTGCCACTGTTGACCCGTAGTGCAGACCCAGTTGGTTTTGCCTTTGGAATTAATCTGTGGTTAAACTCTGAGTCCCGCCTAGTGTGAGAACTCTGGGCATAGGTGGTGAAATAAACAACTTCTGATTGAGAGTGAATCATCTCTAGAATTAACTACTCTAAAGATTTTTCAAACTGTGAAGGGAGGAGTAGGAAGCACTTAATGAATGTGTTTTTAAACGGGCAATTTGTGTTTAGCTCATGGAGCTAGAAGCGTGTTGAGCTCCTTGTACAGATCACAGATGGCAAGAGCAATTGTATATTGAGCTTAAAACCTCATGTAGATTTAGAGGTTCTGATAACATAAATTACAGGTTTCTGTATTTGGAGTTTAATGGGTGCATTTCGAATAGAATGAGGCAGTGACTTAGTGCTTTTTAAAAATTAATCCTTACCTGCTTTGATCTCCGTCAGTTTTTGAGCACCCTCACTGTTCCTGGTTTGTGTGTGCAGCGTTTGCTCCGTGCAATGGAGCTGCCTGGCTTGTGTCCTAAGCAAGCATCTTCTATGGGGTAGAGTCAGTTTGCAAAGACGTTTCTAAATGGGTTGTGAGATGGAAAGATGCTGCTAACATAGGCAAAAAAAAAAAAAAAAAGAAGAAAGTGCTTGTTTTTAAGCTGCTTTTTTTTTTTCTACAGCTGTAACATGTCACCTAAATCCCTTGACTGGATAGGGCAGAACCATGGCTTTAGGATTAGTGCGTGTGATGGATTTAGGATTTCAAGCAAACATGTGTTGCTGTGTTTGCATCGTGTCTAGTTTTTACTGCCTAGAGAGAAATGTTTTCTTTTATCAGCCATGTCCGTTAAAATACTGAGGAGAACCTTCTGAGAAAAGATGAAGACTGGCACAAAGATATTTTGAAGAGCTATACTAGAAGAAAATGTGATTGTTCTGTTTTTTTTCGGACCTGGAAAGAGACTGAAGAGCTTAGGCACCTGGACAGATTCACAGTGAAAGGCAAGGGTGGCTCAGGAGGGCGGAGAGGGGAATGGACTGTGCTATTAACTTTGCACTTATTTACTGCAATGGATATTGCTGGTTGGTTTTGAAGAGCAAGTAGAGCCTTCAGCAAGAGTGGGACTTGCAAATCTGTTACTAATCAAATATATAAAAGGGGTCCCTCTGTGTAGGCATTGCTGTCGGAAGGAGGAAGCGGCATGGAGAAGCCAACAACTGTGAACTGGTATGTCTTGGTGGATGCTTAGCAGCTGACAATGTAGAAAAGGAAAAAGAATATCATCGGGAGGCCTTTCTGTCCAGAAATGGATTCATCTACATGCCATCTAGCCTCATGGCCCTGTCCGTGTCCATCATGTGTCTTCTTTAAAATGTTGAACTGAAACCCACCCAATCCTTAAAAACAGACACATAGGTGCATCCCATAGAATCAAAAAGATTTTTGTTGGGATTTTAGTATTCTAAATCTGGGCAGGGGAGGAGGCCTAAATTTACTGTGAAACTCTTCTGTAACAACCTGAAAAAATACTGCTGGATTTTGAAAATCAACGATTATCTTGTTTTTTTCTGATAATGTTTTTATGCTATTACGTTGAAAATGCGTGCTACAGAATCTTGATCTCTGCTAAGGCCTGCAGTGCTCGTGTTCAAAACTGAAGCTGCCCTTTGTCTTGGATATGGATCCCTCAAAAAGTCCCTTGCTTCAGAATAAGTTCTCAGTGGCCCGTCTGGCTGAAGAGTTTTTCTGGGTTGGTGGCAGCATCGTAGCTTCCCCGCGATGGAAAATCGGCCATGTTGGTAAGATGCAGGCTGAGTCCCTGCCACTTAATTGAACAAGATGGTACAATTTTGCAAGCTTTTGTGTTTAAGTCTTATTTAGTGACAACTTTGTCTAGCAGCAGTGTGGGGGGAGCGGTAAAGAAGGAAGAACTTGAGACACAGCCTTAGTCCTGTGTTACTTTGCATAGTTGCTAGTGCAGTTCTTTTGGTCTTCAAGAACCTCTCAGTTATAATTTCATTTTTGATTTCTTTATGTTTCTCTGGAAAAGAAAATACAAGGTGGTACTTTTTGACATGGAAGGACCTTTTGAAATTTTCTATTGCATAGATAGAATCTATCTTCCTCTCTGCACCCAAGGTAAGATAGGTTTGCTATCTGCCAGAATTTGTACAACTCAACTCTTTGATTTTTCAGGCAATATTTGTAGTTTTCTGTCTCTGAAATGAGCATTTGGAAGTATCTCTGTTGCCTTCTTCCACAGTAGGTCACTGGACTCTTGGGAGATTGTTCTCTGAATACTGATGTGCAATGGCAAAATCTTAAGCTTCACTAGATATATGAAAAGGATCCCTTCTTGCTTCGTAGCAGCCTTTCTTTTAAATAGGTAATAAAACCAGCAAACTTAGATGGAAATGGCTAGAGAAATTAGATGTTTCCTGTTCTAGTAAATGCATTTTAATAGCAGTCTTCCTGAGCCACTCATGTCCAGTAAGGAAGTCTGCTGTGGCCTTGACCAGAACCACCTGTTGCCTTGGAAGCACTTTTTTGTCCTACTTGTCTGTCTCACCAATCAAAGGTATTTTTTTTAAGAGGAAAGTTGGAGATATGGATAGCTTAGAAACTAATGGGAATTTTTGCAGATGTCCAGAATTGCCATCTTACCCTGCTTCTGCATTTCCCTGGATCCAAGTGGCTGATGGAGTCTCAGCCGAGAGATGGAGAGCTGACAGACTGACCTCAACTTAAGCACCCTAATTTCCAGAGGATTAAGGGCATCTCTTTTCCTATTAATGTCTCATTTGTTAGGGGCTGTGCGCTTTAAGGATGGTTTCAATCTTGCATTCTCTCTTGTATGCAGCAAACACTGTCCTAACCATTGCTGGCAGAATTATACAGAAATTAAAGATACTTTAAGATTTTTTTTTTGCCAATGAAAAGAATAGTAGAGAGTCCTGAAGTTTAGTGAGGGTTGAGTAAGTGAGACCAAATAAGGGGGAGAAAGTTCTTGCACTGGTAATAAGATGGTTGGTTGAAAAGGTTGTAGACTGTAGGAATGCAAAATGAAACAACTGAAGATTAATGAAGTTGGATGTGATCTGCTTTGGAATTGGATCCTGGCATAATGATGCAAATCAGCCTGCTCTACATGATCTATGAACACTGTAGAGAGAAAATACCTTAGATTAACTCTTGATCATGCCACTCACTGCCTGACAATGTCTCCTTTTCTGGTTTTTGTGGGGTTTTTTTATGGATTGTTTGGTTTTGGTTTTGTTTTTTTTTTTTTAATTTGGTTTGGGGGTTTTCTCTGTGTGTGTGTGTGAAGTAAAACCCACCAAGTAAGAACAGCCCCCTTCTTATGTAGGGGAAAACTGAACCAGTATGTCCCTCAATGAGTTCTTGTTGTAAAGAAAAGACTGAACTTTAAAGATGCAATAATAAAGAATAAATAAATATGTAAAGTTTAACAATAAATAAATAAAGGTGGTTTGCCTCCACTATGAACCACAGGATGATAAATTCTCTATGTACCAGAATGTTTTTAATAGCAGTTCTTTTGATTCATATGGCACTGTGTCAAGTAGGAATTACTACTGGTGTATTCCATTAGCACAGGTGCTTGTAGAAGGAGCCCAAACTGGTTGCTGCAGCCAACAGTTAATGTTAAAGCTTCTGTGACAAGACCATTACTTGAGTGAGTGTCTTCAGGGTCAGAAGTGACATTCTTGGAACTTCTGTTGTGAGAGTGGTATGATGAACTGTCATGGAGATTCCTCAAGCTCACAGAAATCAATTGTACAGTTCATAGATAGAATTTTCAAAATGTCTTCTAATTCGAAGACTTTTCAGCTACTGTACTGGGTGTATTATATATATTACATATTTTATATGGTTTTATATTATTATATTTATATTAATTTTTTTTTTAAGATTTGATGCATCCTGTCTGTCACTGCTAAACTGAAACTGATATTCCTGGCAGGAATAGTTGGAGCCAGTCAGTCCTTTGGTCACCTATTGATGAGCCAGTTATAGCTGCAAAACCATTTCCACTGAGACTTTTAAAACCACAGCAATTGTTATCTCCTCAATGGATTTGCAGTGCTGAATGTGTGACAAGTGTGGGAGTCGTCTGTTTGCAAGTGGGAAGATGTTTTGGTTTGGTAATATTTTAAGGGAACAGCTTGCCCTTGCAGTGCACATGCACCGAGGGGTTTCTCTAGGCTCACAACCATGTTGCATCTTCTGGAGGCCCTGAAGAGAAATAAGCCTCTGAAATGTCTTCTCCATACCATAAGGAGAGGAAAAGAGGGGCTGTTTCAAGCACACCATCAGGATGCATCTTGTCAGAACGTGCCAACAGGGCAGAGCTGTGTGATGCTGGCCTTTGGACACACGGGGCTGGCCAGGGCTGGAGCTGCATGGCATAACCTGGAGCTGTGTTGAACTTTGGGTGTGAATCTTTTGACAAAGCTGGTCCATGTATAAAAATACTCCGTGACTCAATCCTCCTAACTTTTCTTCCTCACATGCTAAAATACTCCCACTCTGTTGCACATTTACATCAAACCCAGAAACTCCTAAAAGACAATAATGCTACTGAACCATAAATAATTAGTAGACATTAGAGCATCTTTCTAATAATAAGCATGAAATTGGGCTCTTTTTTTTCCCCTTGTATCAGGACAAATTGTAGGGATTCATCATTTGTGTAGTTTTGTTATTTTTACTTCAAAATTTGTTATAGTAACTGTAAATTACTATGAAGAAAGAAAAACTGCTTTGAGTCTTTTTGCTGCATCAGTCTAGTGTCACTTAGTAAGAACACGAGAATGGAACGAAGTGTTCTGTGTTTGTTTCCTGCTCTGACATTGCTTTTTGCCGCAGTACAGAGCTTCAGCTCCTCTCCACGTCTGTATTTTGTCCAGATGCAAATTGAGGCAACTCATTAGATGAAGAGAGAGCTGAACCTCAACTGAATTCTGCAAAAAGGTGCTACTGAAGTGCAAAATAATATTCAGCCAAGAAGAAAACTTCAGCCTTAAATGAAGATAGTTAGAAGCCGTTTCTTCAAAAAAATTATTCATGGCAAGACTCAGGGATTTTAATTTGAAGTATAAAAATGAATCCTTAAAGAAGGTATCTGGACAATGTAAGGAGAAGCAGTTATACTTTTCTTCTCATCACTGTACTATTCTCATTTACATGCTGTGAAAGACTTCAGGGAAAAAATACTATTTTTTGGTTTGCTGTAAGTACCACTATGATTTTTTTTTTTCCTGCACATTTTTTCTATCAGTCTCTCTAGTGCTCTAAACTTTCAGTCACGCAGACAGGTGAGGGTGTATGGTTCAGTCCACGTCCATATGTAGGAATGTGGAGGAGAGCTGTTTGCCCTCTCCATCTCAATCCCCTGGTCTTTATCTGGCTACCCCCAGCTAACACCTCTGCATTACCTTAAAGATTTTCCTTCCCATTATGTTGGTAGGATCCAGGAAAGCTTTTGTTCTTCCACTGACACAAGAACAAAGAAGTTTCTTGTGCTTTGCTTGTTTTCCCAAAACGAAAAAGATAATTACAGATACTTAAAACAAGTATTCGGTATGGTCTGAGCATTCCATGGCCAGGAACGCTGAATAGAAAGAACAGTCCAGTGTCCAGGTCAGCTGGGACTGGCTGCTGAGGTGCTGTATGCTCTGGGGAGGTTTGAGAGAGCAAAATCCTGCAGCAGAAATGAACAGCTGCATTAAAAAGGCTATCCAAGGATGCTTATTAAAATTTCAACAGCCAGGGAGTATATTCTTGCTTCACATAAAAGCAAAGTAAATACGTGTTGCATAAAGTGTACTTTTATTTTGGTGCTGCTTTATTATTTTCTGTAACAATGTACTCTATAGAATCGTGGCTTTAAATTTAAATTTTCTTTTATTATTAGTGATCTGCTTTCAAATTAATCTATTTTGATGAACCTTCTTTTCCTGAGTAAATTAACTGAATTTATATGAATGTGTGCTCTAAACTACAGGAATGTCAATGATTTTTTCCATTTCTTTTTACTCTACCTTGCTTCTCTTGGGTGTTTTGGCTTTTGCCTCAGAGAGAGACTTGAATCACCCCGAAGAATTGTGTGGGTTTTGGTGCATTTTGGAATACGTGAAATTAGCGTTTTAGTTTGGACATTGTTTCATCTGTAATCTGTATGTACAGATAAAAGAAGAGCTTGACCTCAGGATTTCCTTGTATTTATCAATCTGTACTCACTAGAATATGCATTATATGCATTAATTTTCATTCTTCTATCCAGAATCTGAGTAGTAATTTACACTTCTCATCTCTTGGTCTGAAAAAAGTATATAAATATATTGGATATGGTAATAGTTTTAATTTTACTTAAGAAGACCAGGCAGAAAAGCCACGGGGAAATTAAGTCACAGGCTACCCTCTGTCATTATGGGAAATAAAGGGAGGAGCTGGCAGAAGATATGAGATTCTGCCTTCATTCCTGGGACATAGCCCAGTCACTACCAGTTGGTGTTAATGGAAATGTTGATGCTCCATCTCAGCTTTCTAGAATTACTATTTCCAGAGTTGACTGTTTTCTTTGGGCTGGATGGCAAGTAAAAATGTGATGTAAACAGCAGACATGCAACGCTTTTGTGATGACTCTGTGTGTAATGAAAATCGGTGTTCTTGCTTCAGGAGAGAAGTAAATGTTGGGGCTATAAAGATTTTTTTGTGGTTTGCAGAAGTCCTAGTCTTGTTCTGTCATGCTAAAAATATCGTATTTTTACTAAAGGAGTTTCAGAGGAATGTTGCTGATAAGTTCAGCTTAACTTTGCATCAGACTTGTTCTCTTGTGAAAGATCCAACGTTTCCTTTACAAACCTGGTTTCCTTTTTGCAGACGTGTTGTGATATCTTGGTGTTAACAAGCAAGTTAGGAATATTGTCTGAATTTCCTTGTCCTTATTCTAGAAACTGATACTTGATAGTAGTTGATTTAGAGTGGGAGCAGAAGGTGAATGTTATTAGTTCAGCTAAATGCCCCCAGGTAAGTGTGCTGCTAGTAGTTCTACTATGCTCTGCTTATTAGTGTGGATTTGATGTGCTTTGTCTTTCGTCAGTCATGGGTATTGGCAAGTGGTGGCTGAATGTCTGTGAATTAGGACAGAATGCTAAAATATGATTCTATAGATCCACTAGGTATTTTAGGTCCTAATCTTGTAATTGCTTTAATACGGAGAGATCATTTTCTGAGGTTACTTATTAGGATTGTTCACATTCTGGGAGCAGCTTATCTGGGTAAGTACTTGTAGAACTGAGCTTCTGAACCTAAGGAAGGTGCTTATGAGAAAATTTCAGAGGTTCCATTGCACCAGCTTATGGACTACAAATCCATCTTTGTCAGCATTCAGTGTTTTTTCTAACTGAGCCATAAATCCCTATATTTTACTGATATTTTGGACCCACTTTAATGCAAGTGTGTGAATTTCTCATAGTATATGTTGTAGGACAGAAAAAAAAATACCAATAGTTTTTTTGTTCATACTCCTCCTGTAGTATCTGAGTGACACAAAACATCGATCAGTGCAAATAATATCTGCTTGGTGTTACCCTTTTAGCTTCTTCCCAAAAATAGACCACTTCATAAGACTACTGTTAAATGGTGATACTGCTGACGGGAACTCCAGGATTTACAAAAAGGAATGTGGAAAAAAAAACTTGTTGAAGTTATGCCACAAGGTTACTGTATGTTTAAGAGGCAAAAACTCCAGGCATAATGAAAATAACTTTCCTGACACGGATGGAACTGTGCTAATTTTTGCTAGCCAAGGATCCCAACTTCTGGGTGAAATTTCGTACTGTGTCCAGCACAAGTTTTACATATCGTAGGAGCTGAAATTGAGCATTCAAGATAGATTTAGGAAGGATGTGTACCTTGTGCCAATTCCAATATATGTGTATATAATATATGCGTATATTTCTTACCTGTTAATACGGGAATGAAAACTTTCACATTTACAGGTAAGTCCATAGTTGCCAAGAATCTTTCTGACTTTTCCATCATATATCCTGACCTCTTATATTAGACAATAGAGGAAATCTTGCCCTTTGACTTGAACTGTTAATTTGGCAGCTGCTTGATATGTTTTCATCCTAAGAATGCGATTTTAAAGAAGGCAAAGTCTGACTAACTGATACCACTTTATTTCTCTCTTCAGTGGAAAGATGTATGAGTTCCATGCAAGCGGGTACCCAAATGATCAAACTCCGTGGCAGTTCCAAAGGGCTGGTCCGCTTCTATTACTTGGATGAACACAAGTCGTGTATTCGCTGGAGACCCTCTCGAAAGAATGAGAAAGCCAAAAGTAAGTGTCAACCATAACACCTTTCTTCTCATTCCTCCTAGGGTCTTGCCCTCTTACAGACAAACGAGCATGAAGGCGATCAGGAAGAATGTTGTACTTGAATTTAAAAGGCAGTGAATGATTTTTACGATGAATAGTTTATGAAGATGAAGTTAGCTGTTAGCTACGCAGGTTGCAGGAGTGTAGTGTGTTGTAAATGGATTGCAGGCAAAACCCGTGTGAATTTGGGACCTTTGAACGGGAGGTTTGAGCCCTTTCTCTACAGGATATCTCTGCAGGATAGATGCATACTGTCTGGCCTCGGGCGTGTACGCAATCACTAATGAACTACGTGCTTTTGTCGTTCTAGTTTCTATCGACTCTATTCAGGAGGTTTGTGAGGGGAAGCAATCAGAGATCTTTCAGCGCTATGCCGATGGCAGTTTTGATCCCAACTGCTGCTTCAGCATCTACTATGGAGACCATATGGAATCTCTTGACCTGGTATCTTCCAGCGGAGAGGAAGCACGCACCTGGATCACGGGGCTAAAATATCTGATGGCAGGGATCAGTGATGAAGACAGCCTCTCAAAACGCCAAAGGACCAGAGATCAATATCCTTCTTAGATTATCTGAGAGTATTTCCCAGTGGCAAAGAGATATCAATAACATAGGGATTCCTTTAAGTACTTGTTTTGCTAAAAGAGTAGGCACCAGGCTCAAAGCTTCGAAGCTATTGTATTCCCCGTTTCCAGAAACAGAGAGAGGAGTCCTTTAAGAGGATTGTTCTGGGCAAGATTTGGACATGAATGACTGGAGTGGACTGAAAAACATACAGGTATATTCTTTCATCTGTTACTTCCTGTGTACAGGTGTCCCATTTCATTTGGTTGTTCAGGACAAAGCATAATGCAGTATTGCAGTTTGCTCAGAGGTTGGTTATGGGCAAACAGCGTGTGTTGCATGTTGAGCATGGCAAGTCTAGAAACTGTTACTGAAATAACATGAGTAGAGTTATGTTGTATATTACCTCGAGCTTTCTTTCGTCCCCAGTCTCATATACCCTCTTTCCTAACATGAAAAAATCATAAATACATAATGTTCATTAATATCCGTTAATATTCCACGCTGTTCCTTAACTCCTATTCGATGTGGTTGAAGCAGACATTTGATGAGGCAGATAAAAATGGTGATGGCAGTCTGAGCATCAACGAAGTGCTCCAGCTAATGCACAAGCTGAATGTGAACCTACCCCGACAAAAAGTCAAGCAAATGTTTAAGGTAAGAAATAAAATGTAATTTTTTTTTCTAAAAGAAGAAGGATTGAGCTGCTGGAGATTTAACATGAAAGTAAGAGAGATTGTAAATACTTCAGCAGCTGGTTTGTTTCCACTCTGCTGAGAGATACTACACAGTCCATTTGATAAATTGAGAAGAGCTCCAGAAACACGTCATAGGTAAATTGTTATTCATAGAAAAAGGCATTACACCAGGTACCTTCTGGTGTTACATAACATAAAGACACTCAGTACAGAGGCTGCTTTTTTGCTACACTTCTTGATCTGAGACCCAGTCACGTTTCCTCCTGATTCTGCTCTTTAGGAGCGGAAAATCCTACAAAAAAAAAGAGTTTGCAGCTAGGGGAAAAATTTAAAGAGAAGTTTAGAAATAGAGTTAAACTACTTGGGTGTTTTTTCTGTATGTTACCGAATAAAAGAGAAATAAAAGGTTTATAGGACACAGATGCCTCAGGAAGCTGGATGGTTCAAGGGAAAGGTGTGCAAAGCATTCGTGTGACAAGCATCAGCCTGATAATCTGTTCTAGCAGGCCACACAGTGAGTAGGTGTCAGGCAGTATCAGCCTGTGTTTAGTGTCAGTGGTGTTTTATTCTCGTGCAGGAGTTTGTTTATTTAAAATTTGTTCAATTGGGCAATCGAGATCTCATTGCCTTATTGCTGTGTGATGCAGGAGGCTGACACAGATGATAACCAGGGCACGCTGGGCTTTGATGAGTTCTGCGCCTTCTATAAGATGATGTCGACACGACGCGATTTGTACCTGCTGATGCTCACCTACAGCAACCACAAGGACTACCTAGATACCGATGACCTCAGACGCTTTCTGGAGATCGAACAGAAGGTACGGCCAAGAGAGGAAAAGACTTCCAGTCTGCATGCCTTTCTGTTTGCCATTGGGGATGCAGTGCCTTTTTAAAGGAGTGGGAACTTTGTTGCCATACATGTGAAAAATAGACTGATGCCTCTTGATTTTTCTCTTGTAGGCTGGCATGACTATTTCTTAAATCTTCCTGCTCTCACTACCTCTTTTTTCTGTAGATTCTTTTGTTGTGCCTCTACATATAGTCTCTACAGTTTCTTTCATGTGTTCTCTTAGGACAGTTCCATCAGTATCTGTCTTTTCCCAGTATTCAGTACCCTGGTGCAAAGATGGTATTCCTGGCTCTGCTTTTGACTTAGTGCATAGTCCATGATGGGACACTCAATTACTTTGTCACACTATCCCAGTTTGCAAAGTGGAAGATTGTGTTTTTGAAGAGCTGTAGAGAAGATTATTAATGTCTGGGAAAGAGACATTTTTTGAGGATATATGATAGTACATATTACTCTGTCTCTTAGTGCTTTAACTCCATTGCTGGGGTGGGTCTCTGTGTATGGTGCACCACCTAGCTGCCCACTCACTGATCTGCTTCCTCTGTCACTGACTTGAACCTTTACGGCATTAGGAATCTTTGTAACCAAGCTACCTGGCAGTCTAACACTTTTACTCCTATCCCAAATACTCCTTGGTCCTAACAAGTTTGGGTCTTTCTGGTACATGGTAATTTGGCATCTAATATCTGTACCATGAGGACATTCATCCATTGGAACAGATTGCTGGGAGATGTGGTGCAGCCTCCATTCTAGGAGGTTTTGTGGACCAGCCTAGGTAACACCTTAAGCCAACTAATGCCACCTTGTTTGTAGCTGGCCCTGCTTTGAGCAGGATTTTAGGCTGGATGACTTCCCGAGGTCGCTGAATGATCTTATGGTCATTCAACGAGAGACTCGTGGAAGATTCTGAAGTGTGGAAAAATAATTGGACAGCAAGATGCAGTCAGTGCAGGAACAAATGCATTGACTCATCTTTGCCTTTTTCCTCTCGTGATGTCTTTTGAAGCTGCGTTTCTGTAAGTCATAAATCTCCATCTGTTTCAAACGTCTCAGAAATGAAAGAATAAAAAAAGTCACTGCTCTGGCAGTTATCTTTTTAGATAAGTGGGGTGTGTTTCCATTTCATTGGTCAATTGATCCTCCAGATGGTGAGAGGAACACGAATGCTCACCACAGGACACAAATCAGATAATCACTGATGTGGACAACTCATGCCTGTGGGGCTTCTCTCCCTTGCCTACTGCTGCCCTTTCTCGTACAGTTTGTGCAGGGAACACAAGTGTTCATTCTGCGCGTTTGAAGCTGTACCAGAAAAACCTTCTGTTGTTCCAAAGCTTTACTTTTTGAACCCAGCAAACCTGTAACATATGGGCAAATAAAGGGTTAGGGGTTTTGTTTACCTCTTCTTTTACTTTTAGTTTTTAGGTTTTAAATTATCCCCAGAAAAGGCATTGATCTGCTAGCAGATGTGCTGGTGGTTTTATTTCCCCCTAAGCAAAGATTCCCTGTTGCCAAAACAGTCATCAACTTGGTCACTTCATTGGCAGCCTCCTCTGGTGACAAGGGCTGTATTTTCATGTGTCATGTACAGCATCTAATGGAAAGGATTTGCTGGACCACTCAGGGCAAGAATATTAAATAATAGCAGGGATAATAGAAGAAAAATTAACAGCAAATAGTAGGAATATTAAATAATAGTGTTAAAATTGAATTATGAAAACATTACAAGGCAAAAAAAAGCTACAGCTTACAATAAACGGCCCTTTTTTAATAAATGACAACATTTACAAACATATATTTCCCTTTATACTCTTTCCTTTTTCAGTTGAAAGGAACCTTGAAGCCAGCAGATTTCCTTGAGGAGGTTTCTGAGAGCATTGTGTCCTGATTCTCTGCTACCTTGCTAGTAAATTATTTTTCTGTCTGCTGCATGAAGACGAGCCATTTTCTTGTTTTATTTTAAAATAAAGACCCTTTGCTAATGCAAACTAATCCTTTAATCCTACAAGAGAAGAAATCCTATTGGTTTGTGCCAAAGCTTGTTCTGTTTGGGTGCTCCGTGTGCCTCGTACCACTCTAACCAGATCTGACCTACAAAGCAGAACTCTGACCAGGCAGCTGCCAATAGGACAGAAACTTCTCACGGAGCAGTCTGCTTCTGATCTGACCTGACACTGATTGACAGGAGTGAGAATCTCACTGTGCAACTGGAAATCCTTGGTACCACCAGGGGTGCTTTGCTCAGTCGTTGAACTGCATGCAGATAAAAGAGCTAAGAGAAGCTGTTATTACTCGTTAACACTTCGTTTTTGCTTTTTTACAGATGACCAATGTGACTAAAGAACACTGCCTGGAAATCATCAGCAAGTTTGAACCGTGCCTGGAGAACAAGAAGGAGGGAGCTCTGGGGATTGATGGTAAGATGGCTGGTGTAGCTTTTGTAGGAAAGAGGCAACTGTTTAAATGCTTGTGAGAATGCTGCATTCGTTTGCATGATATGTAGTCATAGAATTTTGTCATGCTGTGTAGAGTATGCTTTTCAGAATTACTTTTTTTGGTATCTGTTATTTGCTGAGGAACTTAAAGGGAAAGTAAGAAGAAATGATTAATTTGCCAAGAGTCATTAGCTGCATGTTTGCTGACATACGCTGTGCCCTATCAATTTTTCATGCTATCTGCTCTGGCTTGTTAGTCTTCTTGTTTTGCTCTAGCTGTATTACTGGTTTGCTAGTCGATCATGATACGTGCCTCAAGACACTCTAATATTAGCCTGGACTGAGGTTCCCTGGTGCTGTTTCCTAGTGTATTGTTGATAAAGTTTTGGCTGCTATTTATGTTTATCAGCTCTTCTCCTTTAATAAAACTTCCATCAACACAAAATGTGAAGCCTATAAGAACCATCATAAAGGTGACATTTTATCTTAAATTCTGTTCAAGCTGAATTTCTCTGTGTTCTGTAGACCGGTATTCCGAGGCTGATTTTGAGGACTGGAGTTATTTTGCCTTGTGTAGCTTTAGTGAAACAAAGCACCAGTCTGTCACAGTCAGAGAAATGCATTAAGACCTTTAGAAGTTTGGCAAGATTTTTATAGAGGCACTGTTTTATTTATGGAATAACGAGTGAAATGTCAGGAGGATTAGAAGTCTTGAAGCAGAGACCTTTTGAATAAAGGTATCATCACTGTCAGCAGCTGTTAAGCCAGGGTGTGAATGGAAATCTTAGTCTTTCATTGGTGGTGAATGAAGAGAATTTTGAGGGGACTTTAAATGGAAGTTACAGTTTTTAATGTTAATCTGTCTTGTGAAAGATTCTGTGTATTTGTGCACAAAGTATACTGGTGATCTGAGAGCAGCGGTTTCATACAAAGATAAAAGCTATAAGTCACTAAAACTTTGCTTCTGAGCAAACGTGATGATTGCAATACAGACATTGTCCAGGTGATGTAGTTTGCATGATTTGCAAGCATCCCACTGCTTCAGAAAATAAATCCTTCTGGTAGCATCACTGAAAGTGCTACAGATATTTGATGTTTTGGTGTGAAGCCTGGAGCACTACTATGATCTTCAGCCTCATAAAGTGAGAGTAATGCAGTACTGCAGATCTCTCCCAGCCACGTGCATGTTTGTGCATGTGGTGTCTTATCAAAATTGGAGACTTACGTGTTCATGAATGTGTTGGTGAATGTAGGGATGCGTTTTTAGGCTGGTTTTCAGAAGGCTACAGCAACAAAAAGGACAAAACTGTATTATTTATAGTATTGTTTGTTTACAGGTTTCACCAATTACATGCGGAGTCCATCAGGGGACATATTCAACCCAGAACACTACCAAGTGAATCAGGACATGAGTTATCCTTTGAGTCACTATTTCATTACCTCTTCACACAATACCTACCTCATGGGAGACCAGCTGATGTCCCAGTCTAGGGTGGACATGTATGCATGGGTGCTACAATCTGGCTGTCGTTGCGTAGAAGGTAAAGATCAAAAAGGAGTCATCGGTAGGCTCCGTAGTTTTCTTTCTCCATTGTAAAGGAAGACTCATGGCTCCTGCAGAAGACATCATAATTGGGTAGAGGAAAAAGCCTAGTAAAATGGTGTCTTCCCCTCATAAAGAACAACAAAATAATGTTGCCATATAATGGATAAATTTCTTGAGCATGGAAATAGGGCAGACATTTGAAGAGTAGTGTCGTTGGTACTGAGGAATAAAAGTTGTAAAAATATTTTTGTGGAGAGAATGCTAACATTCAGTAGAATGTATTGGTGTGTTTACTTTCTAGCCAAGTGTATGGCAACCAAACTGTCAAATATGGCACAGTTCCCGCTACATGCGAGAGGAGAAGCTGATATTTCTGATAAGGGAAGTAGGATTCTGTTATGTGAGATGTTGACAGCCTCTGCAGTGACCAGGAAGCCTTTATGTGAAATCCCTTCTGATGTTTGTAGTGCCTTTCTGAGACAGTACCTGTTTCATAATCACCTTTAATATCCTGACCATCAAAGTGTTTTCACAATTTTTCAGAAGGCCAATATTATGGTTTGCTCAGGTCAGGTTGTGTACGTGCCAACGGATGCTTCAGAGGAGGCAAACATTTCAAGGAAATATGATTGTTAACAAGCACAAGGTTAGGCAAGATCCAAAGAGGGCTAGAGATGCCCAAGTCTTGGCTTTGCTTGTGCTGTGAGAAGCTTGGCTAAGATTCTCTGCTTTCCTTTTCAGATTTAGCAGTAGTGTAATGGAAGTAATGCTATACTATGTCATCTCTCTTCCTGTCGTGATACTCTCAGCACTTGGTAAAGGAGATCTTTTTTGCTTGAGGCTTTCTCCAGCAATGGGGACAGTCAGCTCGACACAGTAGAGGGTCAAGGCCAGGAAGTTTCTTCAGAGAAACGATGTTCAGCACAGTGAGGAGGGAGATACAAATGAAGGGTGGGAATGAACCTATACCCTGCTCTGCTGGGTACATATCTGGCTGGGTTGCTGAAGGGAATTACAGGATGTCATAGTCTTCCTCAGGTGGTGGCCCCAGACATTACCTGTCTGATGAGTGTCATTGTTTCTGTTCTACAGTTGACTGCTGGGATGGGCCAGACGGTGAACCGATTGTCCACCATGGATACACTTTGACTTCCAAAATTCTCTTCAAAGACGTGATTGAAACTATCAACAAATACGCCTTTATCAAGAATGAGTATGTATACAGTCTGCCAACTTTTGCGTCGCAGGGCTGTAAACTGGAGTGTTCCCGGCATCCCGGTAAAGGCAGTCAGTGAAAATCTCGCTTGTTCTGACATATGCCAGACAGAATTGCCAGTTGTTTTCTTCAAAAAGGAATAACAAGGCAAAACTGACTGAGTAGGAGCATTCTGTGTGTAGTTGGGGGGCTCTTTATCCCATTCGTACAAGACAAGAGGATCAACATGTTTTGACAGTGAATGTTTCTAGTGAGTAGCTGACAGTTGAACTACACATCTCTGCATGTGTACTCCAGTGGTGCCAAGGTTACACTTGGTTGCTCCAGGGATGGGAAGCAAGTCAGGCAGCAGAGGAATACAAAGAGACAGTAGCCCAATTGTGGAGAGAGCAGACTGTTCAAGAGAAGTAGGTTATTTTTCCTACCTGTACATTGCTGAGGAAGTCAGAGAATTATACAATGGGAAGTTGCATATGCCTTGGCAGTACTGTCCTCTTCCTGAGAGTCAAAACGTGTGTGTCAACTTATCTGTTTGGGTTTTTTTAAGATAAATTAATTTATCTCTCTAAAAATTTTCCAGTAGCTTCTGCAAAGCAGTCCATCTGCTTTCATTAATAGAGCTAAACTTTCACTGAAATTTCAGCCCAGGTAAACTTATTGTGAACCTAAAATCTCTGGAGTTTGTTTGCTTGAAGACATGGTAAATAAATCAAAGGAAAGGTGGCCAGCAGAACATAAGGCAATGCTTCTGAAATTGTTGCAGTTCTTAAAAGCTTTACAGAAGGGTTAACTGGGACCATGTTACACCTAATTATCTGTGGTGGGTTTTTTTCTTTATAGGTATTGATGCTCAGTCACAGTTTGATAGTGGACAAAACATTTTAGACTTTCAGGTATTTTCTTTCCCGGGGTAGGCTGGAGGCATAGCTGTTGGTAGGCTGCGCATTCAGCTAAGAAACTGCTTCAGGCAAAGCTAGGAATTTAACTATAGTCATCAATTGGGAAAGTTTTGTCCTGCAGGCATTGTCTGGCTGAAAGCCTCATTTTTCCTGATGAGAAGATAATGAGAGCCAGATGTCAGGATAGACATCATTTTATTCATAATTAGTTTTTAATTAATGAATCCGTCATCATTCAGCCCTGAAAAAAACTGCACTATATACTGGTGTTTGTGCTCATCCTAAAAATGCCAAAAGAATCCACAATAAATGACAATAATAAAACTAAATCTAGAAATAATACTTGCTGTCTTTATAGAAGAGGCTTTATCTGAAGGCTTGTTTGTATGACACTGCTCTGCTGCTAGCTAGAAAAGTTTTTGTGGAAGAACCAACACAACAGGTTCGTAATTTGGTTGTTGGAAGTGAGAAGTCAAAGATAAAACCCTTTTGGAGATTTTTTTCAGTTCTTTGAAAGTTTGTTTACTTTTACCTGTAAGAGTACAGAAGGGGTGAAGCACTGATTGGAGAGGATAGTTAAAGGCACCGGCTGTTTAGGTTTTCCTAATGAATGGCTTGCTAGAATCTCTTTGATAGGAAGTGGAGGTCGGGACTGGGTGGTGTAGAAAGGTGAAAAGTGTGCTCTGGGAAAAAGTGCATCACATCAGACTGCAGAAGTTTCATTATCGTGTGGCTGTCAAAAATGGACCGTTCAGTTTGGAGTGAGCAGTGAGGTGTCAGTCCTGTGCCCACAGGGCTGATTTATCCAACCCCTGGGGGTTTCACTGGTGGTGATGCCTGTTACAGGAATGGCTCAGACAGTAATAACCCTTATCCTTTTAATGCTGTGATAAAAGCTGAATTCGCAGTTGATGATACTTATGTCTCTGCCAGGTACCCTGTTATCTTGTCAATTGAGAACCACTGCAGTGTCATTCAGCAGAAGAAGATGGCTCAGTATCTTACAGAAATTTTGGGAGACAAACTGGATCTGTCTTCTGTGCATGATGATGATTCCACCAAGCTCCCTTCACCAGCAAGTCTTAAAGGAAAGATACTGGTTAAGGTAAAAACCTGTCTTGTCTGTACTATCCCTCTATTTGTTTGTGCTGATTATGATTTCTATTTGCATGCTTTGACTAATTTTTCTTTTTTTTTTTCCTTTTCTTTTTTCTTTTTTTTTTTTTTTAAACCTGTGTGATAGCAAGAGCTGCATACTTACCTGCCTGTGTAATCATTTTATCTTCTAGGGGAAGAAACTTCCAGCCAACATCAGTGATGATGCAGAGGAAGGTGAAGTTTCTGATGAGGACAGTGCTGATGAGATTGATGATGACTGTAAACTGATGAATGGAGATGTAAGTAAAGTGATCATTTCAATGTAAATGTACTTCAAGTTTTCCCATCCCAGTGAGAAGAAATCTTGTATGAGTTCTCTGGAATATGGATGTGGTCTAATCTTTGGGATTTATCGCAAATCTTTCAGATTCTAAACCTTCGTGGGGACAGATTTGACAAAAGTGCAGCACCAGTTCTAGTGGTTATGTTTCAAGTTTGGAAGTTTTGTCTTTTAATGTTTTAAATAGCAATATCTCATGATTCTTTATTGCATCATAGCGTTCTTCCCCTCAAATACCACAAACATAACGTTTTAGTTTGCATTAATCCTGGCTGGAATTACTAGGACTTTTTTGATCACTACCTAGTTTAATGATTCTGTTTTATTTGTAGGCATCTACTAATAGGAAAAGAGTGGAGAATATAGCAAAGAAGAAACTTGACTCACTGATAAAAGAATCTAAAATCCGTGACTGTGAAGATCCAAACAATTTTACAGTTACCACTCTACCATCATCAGGAAAGGCTGGTCTAAAATCAGATAGTAAGAAGGTGAACAGGTTTTATTGTCCTTCACTTACCCCTAGACCTGATTGTTGTTTTTTTTGTCCCTGTAGCTACCTAGTACTATTATTTCATGACAGTAATTCTTGTTCTTTCAAAGGTGGCTGACTAAAGTGACTTCAGAGAAAGAGGTGTTTAGCATTTCCATTTGTTGTGTTTTATTAGCTTATTGAGTAAATCATATATTATTGATTTCAGATTCATAGCTGAATTAATTCAGTTAATGATGATGTCAGGTGAACATCACTGTCAGATACACAAAGCTACACAAAGCTTTTTTTCTTGCTCACACAGCAATTGGAGCATGAAATCTACACATGAAATGACTTTTCAACAGAAATAACTTTATTTGCCATTACAAAAAGTGCATATGAAAGTTGAGCTTTTTCCCCTCGGTTCTCTGTTCTATGCATTTACATTTGTATTTTAATTTTATACTAATGCTTATTTATAAAAATGTACTCAGCAACAGAAATAACTTTATTTGCCATTACAAAAAATGCATATGCTACAGACTACACTTCATGAACTTGAGGTGTTGTCATTTTGGAATTTGTAATAAGTCACAAAAAGCTTAGGAAGATTGTTGCATGTGAATGAAAAACGTTGGAGATCTGCCAGTAATAAGCAGGTGTACTAACTAGGGATTAAAACTAGGGGAGAACTAAGGATCAGCTTCCCAAAACTTTCTATGACATGAGTTTTGTACGTACCTTTAAGCCTGATGATTTACATAATGTATCAGGCAGTTATTCTTGTAAGATCCATTGCAAGGCCAAGACTTCAAGAGTCCTTTTGCACAGATGTTAACCAGAATAGTCTGTGTTTTGTCTAGGAAACAATGAAACTGTAAGGGCATATTAAAGACCAGTAGCATCAATGAAGTATATACATTTGTAGGGATTTCAAGAATTTTGTTTCTTTCTTAACATGGAGTATCCTAGTAAAACTGCGTAATTTGCAGAAATAAGTCCTGTTAAACTGTACTTTTCAAATATTAAGCTACAAACCAGTCTGATGTCAATGAAGGTATGTAGTATGGGGGCATTCAAACTTCCTGGGTGAAAACAAAATTGTGGTTAGGCATTTGTGTGATTTCTGTCTGCTCTGAAAGTTCCCATGGACAAAAAAATTATGGCAATTATTGCCAGGGTACAAGATCTGGTACTCAGCTTGTGTTTAAAAAAAAAAAAAATCTGCGTTGGTTTGGTGCAGTTCTGTTGACACTTTAGGGAGGCTCACTTCCCAAACTATTTCTGATAATGCTCAAATATGCCATCCGTAGCACTCTCCTTGGTCTGCTACATTGTTCTTTCTGTTTGGTTGCTTTAGAGTAAACTTGAGGATGATGTGGAATCTGGGGAAGACTTCAGTACCAATAAAAGGCACAGCCGGTCATTGATGGGCAGTTTTTCTAAACGCAAGGTGAGCCACTCGGTGGATTAGATCTACACTAAAAATTGTGTTCTTGGATTTTGCACACAGTGGTGGAGAGGAATATTATAATTGCATTCTCTGACAGAGGCTTGCTATCAGACTCTTCACCGAACAGATAGGCTGAATTACTGATTATAGTTGTGCAGAACAGAGTTTAAATTTACATCAAAGTCTAAAAGTATCCAAGATCTCCTCTGAAAAACATAAAAATTAATTTGCACCTTTTATCTGAGGATTTGTGATTCATTTCTAAAAAGGCTCTGACCTTGGGCTGAGTCTTCCCCATGTGCATGCATATTGTCTGCAATGCTGAGTGTTACAAAAGCTGTCATTTCCCATCTTCTGTATCATGCTCATCAGCATAACAAAGCAGAATTGTATCCAGCTGCTCAAACCTTGATCAGATGGTTATGATACTATGGTTTTATTTCCTTGTGGCACAGAAAAAAGGAAGCAAATTGAAAAAGGCAACAAGTCTGGAAGAGGGTGAAGATGATTCGGATTCTCAAGGAAATTTAGCCAGGAGCTCTGTACATTACAGCAGGTTTGTTAACAAGTGATTTGGCAATTTTGTTTCTAAAAAAGACACCTACATAAATGAACCCAATAAACAGATATGCTTCAGGTCTAGGAAGCCAATTTGTTGAAGGTTGCAGGTACGTGGCAGGAGTCTGGTGTGAGGATAGATCCAATGTCAGCCACAAGATCATCAGAATGACCTCTTGGTGCCATTCAGACTAATTAGCAAAGTACAGTGGACCTTATTTGTGTCTTGAGCCCTTGCCATCTCACCCTGCTGACATACAGGCCATTTGACTGGTGGCCCAGTGAATCCATTAAGGGGGATTTGCAGTGTATCAGATCTCCAGCTGTTTTTTGGGTTTTTTTAAAATTGTTATATAATTTGCCAAATGAAGTTTCTTCCACATTCAAGTGATGATTTTGATTTTTCTTTTGAAATTGCCTCTTCATAAATCCTGATATCAAAGATCCTTTGTAGAATAGTTGCTTAAACTTCAGGCTTCAAAAGTAACAAATCAGGTCCAGCATGGTTAATATGCTGTTAGTGATAACCCAAAGGAGATGAGGAGGACCAGAGCATTGCTTTCTTACTATTTCTTTGGGATTTAAAAAGGTTTTTTTGTTAGCACTTGACTTGAGAAGTAAATATATACGTGAATAGATATTCCACCGTTTGGTCAAAGCAACTTAGTCATCCCCACCAGATCCTAGTAAATGATCATATAAGAACAGGACTTACTGGTTCTGTGTACTTTCATGCCATTGGTTCCACAACTTCTGTGCTTTGGCAATGAAGCTCTATGGGGTGTAAAACTATTCAATACCTCCTTGGTGGAAGAAAGCCGCCTTACGTTTTTTTTTACCCTGATTTATTTTAAAATATGAAAGATAAAATTTACCCCTTAATTAATGGGAAATTAATTTGCTTTGTCTTTCTAGGATAAACCGGCAAAAGAAAACAATGAAGCTGTCCAGGGCACTCTCTGACTTGGTGAAATACACAAAGTCTGTTGGCATTCATGATGTTGAAACTGAAAGTAGGTTGAACTAAAAGTCTGCTGAAAATAATTGCTATATCAAGAAATGGAAAGGTTTATGTTCTTACGTGTCTTCTTATTAAAAACTGGTTTTCTGTTTGTTTCTCTCCCACCCTGAAAAGATTTTAACGGAAGAGCTGCACACGATAAAGCTATACTATTTTGAAGTAGCTGACCACTTGCCATTCAGAATCCACAAAGTGAGTCTAGAGTTGTGTGACAGCTTCCATAAGGGAAAAGAAGTTACTATAGGTAGTAAGCAGTACACGTGTAGTCTTTGCTAGCTTGTATAAAAGCTGCTACACAACACTTGCGTCCTGGGAAATAACAGAGGGCTTAGTTATGCTCTTGGGCAGAACAGTCTGCAGAATATTTCAAGCTTAAAATTTAGATTTGTAAGTCAAATCTGATGAAATATCAGCATTAAATTTCTAGAATGTTTCAGTCCTCTTCCTAAGTTTTCTGCATCTTATTTTGGTGGGAATCAAGTTTTAGTTAAAAGTGTCCAAAAGAAAGAATTGCTTCCCTTAAGCAAATTCAATAAATCTTAGAGAATTTTTTTAAAATATCTTAATGAAGATTCAGGTCATTCATTATATCCAGCTTCATTTTCCCAACCGTAACTCCTCCAATAAGCACAATGACTTTGCTGTAATATCAGAAAGGCATAATTCTGTCCGAGTGAGATGTATTAAAATGATGCTTGATAGTTATAAGGAACTAGTGCTATGTAGTTTTGAATGCTTTATCTAGATAAATAAATAAGGAAATTACCTCTAATGTCCTCCGCTCTTCTTTGTAGTCTCTTCGAGCTGGCAGGTTTCATCTTTCAGTGAAACAAAAGCCCATCAGATACTGCAGCAAAAGCCAGCACAGTATCTACGTTTCAACCAGCACCAGTTGTCCCGCATCTACCCATCTTCTTACCGTGTGGACTCTAGCAACTACAATCCTCAGCCATTCTGGAATGCTGGCTGCCAACTTGGTGAGCAGAAAAAACATTTATTTTTTTTTATTTTTTTTTTTATTTTGGGAGGACGTTTTAATATGAGCTCTGGAATCACCCCTTAAAATACTATGAGTTCTCTGCTCATCCAACTTTACTGACAGTTGAGTCCTTGTTAGCTGTTGATGTTGTTACCTAGATAGATTACCTCGAACATGTGTCTTACATACAAGCAGTGGTCTGGTAAATGGAAATAAATTAACTTCTCAAACACAGGAGGACTTCAGAGTTCAGACTCTTGAAGAGCTTCTCTCCCTAAAGCTGTGATGTATGTTACATAAGAGAATTCTTTTTCATAAAGCATTTGAGTTCTTGCATCCAAGAAGTCAAATGTGAAAATGTATTTAAGTGTCCTTCCCTTAATTTGGTCCTGCAAACAAGAATGTTGTTAACATACTCAGTAAGTAGTATCACCTTTTTTTTTTTAAATAGTTGCACTAAACTACCAGTCAGAGGGGAGAATGCTGCAACTGAACCGGGCCAAATTTAATGCCAATGGGAATTGTGGCTATGTCCTCAAACCAAACTGCATGTGTCAAGGTAAGAAAAATGAGCAAAAATAAGTGGATCACTTACTGCATGAGAAGAGTGGATGTGGATCCTTATTATAGTTTAATAATGCATTTCTGATGCTAGAAGCAAATGAGCCAGAAGGGATCTGTAACTAAAGTCATCCCCAAAATTAGACTTTTTTCACATTATGTGATTTCTCATTCTTACAGGTGTCTTTAATCCAAATTCTGAAGACCCACTGCCTGGGCAACTGAAGAAACAGCTGGTTCTAAGAATTATCAGTGGTCAACAACTCCCAAAACCACGTGATTCCATGTTGGGAGACAGAGGAGAAGTATGGGACAATTGGTTATTGCTCTTGTGTGTTAGAGAAGTTGTATTTCCATATTGGCCAGGCTAAGGATGAGGATTTAACTTCCTGCAGTTATCTGTCAGGAGACATAGAACATGAATAAATTAGGTCATTAGCATCCTAGATCTTCAGGTGATTTTCTTCGCTTCTAAGCATCACAGCAATGGTTGGAAGTTTTTCCTCCAATTGTCAATACAGCGCCTCCAGATATCTCTCATCAGCATAATCCATTACAGAAGGGCTCAGGACCAATAATTATTAAGACAATAACATGCAGTGCCCACATCTGAAAGCTATGTACTTGAATTTTGTCTTTGTCACTCTTTCTTTTCAATATTTGTTACTTGCTGTTTTCCAGATCATAGATCCATTCGTCGAAGTAGAAGTTATAGGCTTACCTGTTGATTGCTTCAAAGAACAAACTAGAGTAGTTGATGATAATGGTAAGATTATGTGGGTTTTAAGTTTCTTTTATGGTTGAAACGTCCTCTTTCAGGCAAGTTTTGTTCATAAAGATTCAAGTAAATGAAATTTGGTGCCTACTAGGGCAAAGCACTGAAAAATTGATTTAAGCATTCTTGATGTTAATCAGACTTGGATCTTGAATTGTTTGACTGAGTTGGTATAATGTTATAAGGTTGTGGTGTAAAACAAGTCATTTGTCTGACTTCTCACTGTGTGTGAGAGAAGGATATTTGGAGCTTGCTGTGTCAAAAGAAGGCTAGGTTGTCCAAACACCTGCTGAAACCAGGGCCAACTTTTAAGTAAGATCTC